TTGGCCGATTTGAAAGGTGAACTGTAATTACTGGGGGGCGGGAGTAGGGGCACAGCCGGGTGCGGAGGACGGGTCAGGGGTGGTAGTTTGGGTCTCGCGGGTAATAAGGGACGGATTTCTTCTCAGTTACTTAGATTAATTTCAATCTTTTGAGCAAGAGAAAAATATATTGTTTGATTTCATTTAGTTATTCTTATAATGCCTGTGCTGCTATATGCTGGCTCAGATATCCGTTCTATGAAGTCAACACAGGCAAAATGAAGTGCCTTTCTGATTGTTGCGATTGCTCATCATTGCCAGCTCAGAATTCAACTACTCACAAAAGCAGTTTCACACTGTCGAACACACTCCCCACGTGTTTAGCAAAAAAACCAGCAAAATGTACAGTGTCCATTAACATGGCACAGCCATCAAATGTTCTCTGAAAATTCTAAGCAGATTGCAGCATCCAAGTTGACCCTGGTAGTGCAGATGGCGAAGATGCGAAGGAATTTAGGAGGAAAAAAATAGTGTAGGAGAGAAGGCAAAAGTGAGATAAGGCGTTTCGGTCCATTAAGTCATATACTTCTTAACTCAACACTGCGACTGGTCCTCGTCAGTATGACGGTCGCAGTGCTTAAAAAGGAGAAAGAAGGAAGAAATGAAAGCAAAAGGGAAACCAAAAATTGTAACATTAGAGAGTGTGAAAGAGGCGAGAAAAGGGGGGTAAGGAGAGGGGAGAGAAGTCAAGTATAAACATTGTGACCAACTGGATTAAGGAAGTAGAAAAAGATGTAATGTATAAAAATTAATCTTGCCTCATTGCGCTAGTCCTAGCAATTGTACAATAAAGAAAGTACCATACGAAAGTCAGGTTGCCCCATTACACTTTAGTACCCGAAAACAGTCACGAATCGTCTTTCTAAAATTTCCTTTATAAATATTCCATTCCTCTATCGCGCATTGGAACTTCCCTGTCCTTTTCCTAACTGCTCGGATTAACTGTTGGAGTGGAATCTTTCGAAAAGCAATTTCAGTTAGGTTTGTAGCAAAACGAAGCAGCTAACTTGGCTCGACCAAAATCTCGGCGATTGCCCGATGTGCAAACGATGCATTCTCGTGCAGCTGCAATCGTTCGGCCAATTCGGCGCCTCTTCTGTAATAACTCAGTGCCGCTGGCAGATCGCCCACACGCCTCCTCTCGTCGCCAATCTCCACGTACAGATCGCATACCAAGCGCTCGTCGTTCCGTCGCGAAGCTTTGTTCAGTTGGCGCTCCAAGTCTGCAACACGTGTGTCGTGTGTACTAAGATCAAAGTTCAGCCGATAACAGTCCTTGTAACGGCGCACAGCTATCGCGCCAGCGTGGGCCACTGAAAAAAGCCGTGTTGAGCGAGTAATGGAGGATAATGCGAGCACACGGCCAAAACTCAAAAGTGCCTTTGGAAATCCCCTATGTGTTGTAGAAACTTAATGCTGCAGGCAGGATGGTGTAGTAGGAATTTTACAGATATAAACAATGAATATCCCTGGCCAGAGGATTGGAAGAGGACGAGGGCCTGAAATCGTTTATGTGTTAACATATGCAGTTTGTCTGGCGTTGCCCGCCCACCGCCGTGGAGAGGAACACAGTCGAATTTTGATAACTAATGAAAACACTGGAAGTGCCATTTGCATCTCCCAAATAAGCAAGTTGTAAGTGCAGTGACTTGGTAGCCTGTCTGTGTTTCATCCCTTAACTGTAAATACAAATGTTTTCACAACTGGTGCGAAAAGAGGTGGGAATCATCAGTACAGTGCCCAACTTCGCCATTTTAAAAGGAACATGTTGATTACTTGAGAAAGTTCTCGAATGACACTGTTCCAAAGGA